GGGTATATTCGTTGTACTTAAATAGCATTGTAAAACAAAGGAATATGGATCAACTTGGAGGGCCAGGACCATGCAGAAATAGACCGGCAATAAGTCGTACCTCAGTTGTGATAAGCAAAGTGCGACGTTTTCTAACAGGTGAAAATCTACGATCACAGAGGTTTGTGACAAAAGACGGCCACTTGCCCCAGGCAACAGTACGCAACATAATCAAGAAGGATCTCCATCTTAAAAATCGATAAAAGTCGCCTGTACGAAACGGTAATAATAGCATCATTGCCTTGGTGAAATGTAGCTAATTTGAAACATTGGAATTAACGATCAATTACTTCAACTGTCAGCGAAAATATGGCATCCTTATCTTCTGATAACAGATTAAAATACACACTTGCATTTCAGGAAAATTCTCGGTGGACCAGTGGAGCATCGCAAAAAAAAAAAGTTTATTTTATAAGAAAAAAAAACATTATTTAAATCCGGTTCCCATTTCCCATTAACGACTTATAGCGCGGCATACATGTAAGTCTACAGACTTATAACGCTAAAAACTGGTTTAGATACCCGTGGTGGGCACAGCACAGATAGCCCATTGTGCAGCTTTGTGCTTAATATCAAACAAAAAAGAAACATTTTCAGCTAATGTAATTTTGTGGTCATATAAGCCTGACTTTACTAAGATTGTTGATGTGCTAATAAATGTAATAAACATTGGACTCTAAATGTAAAATTTTTACAGTATTTATTTTTGTGTATTTTGTGAGCTGTATGGAGGGCAGGTATAAAAATAGTTTTTCTGGGCTGTTTTTTAATGAGTAAAAGAATTTTTTTGTATCAGGTGTTTATATAATTTATAATCACAAATAAAATGACATAAATTTTGTAGCCTAAGATGCAATGAATATTAATGAGTTCTGTGCACTAATCGGATCTTCATAATTTAACGCGGACGTCTTTGAGTGACAAAGATGTCATGCGGCTAGATCAATTTCGTGTGGTACTCGAACTGCGCTGTTAACCTTTTCCACGTCCCCCAGTAAGTCAGAAAAAAGTTAACGGACTTACAACGCTAAACTCCGGGGTTCGATTCTCCGTGGTGAACAGAGCGCAGATGTTGAAATCATGATTTTGGGAAGTAAATAAAATATTATTGTGGATAGAATACTTTTAAATGATCTCTGTCCTGATCCTGTGTAACTATTTCTTCCATTTTACTTTGGCCCCCCCACTCGATGGTACAGCGGTAAGTCTTTGGATTTACAACGCTAAAATCAGGGGTTCGGTTCCCCTCGGTGGGCACGGCAGATAGCCCGATATGGCTTTGTTATAAGAAAACACATATATATTTTGGGCCGGGCGTGGTCTAGTATTAACAGGTCAGGCTGTGGATCGAGCCGTGATATGCCGCAGAACCCACTGTACATTCAGCAGTGGTGGAGTCGTAAAAGTGACAGTTAATACCCATATCTGTTTCAAAGCGCCGGACGAAACCCTTGTGGAGGCGGGTGCTGCTAACTGTTTGGTCTCCATCTGGTAAAAAGTTCTAAAGTAGGGGTCGCTACACCTCAAACTTAGAATTCTCTACTTAGCCGTTGAGCCCACGTATCTTTGTTTCAAAGTGCCAGACAAAGCCCTTGTGGCGGCGGGTGCTGGTGAGCAGTTGCTCTCTATCTGATGGAATGTTCTAAAGTGGGGAAGGCTATGCCTAAACCTTTAGGGTCTTTGACCTAACCATTTAACCCTAGTGCCTCATAAGGTGTAGTTCAGTTTAAAAATACCAAATTGACCTTGCCGTTTAATCTTTCATTAAAACAATTTGTTATAATTTGCCACCAGTTTCCAAGATAAATAAGCACAATTACATAAATTGAGAAAAGACTACAACTTTTTTAGATGTAAGGGAATAATAGAAGAAAAAAAAATCACAACAGCAACAATTAAAGCTTCGATGGTGCACAGTTTGTTTGTTTGTTTGTTTTGAATTTCGCGCAAAGCTATACGAGGGCTATCTGCGCTAGCCGTCCCTAATTTAGCAGTGTAAGACTAGAGGGAAGGTAGCTAGTCATCACC